AGTGTCTGTCTATCTGTCTTTCCCTCCAACTCTATCTCATATCCTGGAATAATTGAGTTTTACAGAGAGGCTGAAGAGGTAATACTTCCTGTGTACTTTTTGCTCAGATTTCTTAATAGTAATCCTCTATACTGTTAAAGTGTGTATTCAAAACTGAGGAATTAACACTATATTAGCAACTAAACTACAGACCTCACCTGGATCTCAGCAGTTTTTCCATTAAAGTCCATCTTCAGTTCCAAGATCCAATGCTGGGTACCAAGTGCCCTTGTGTGCCATGGCTCCGCTGTCTCTTCTGACCTGTGACCATTTCTCAGTCTTTCTTTGATTTTAGTCACCTTGCCAGGTTTGTGGAGTACTGATCAGATTTTATTCAGCTTCCCTCAATCAGTCTAGCTTATATGATGTTTTTTCAAAATTTCACTGGGTTATAAGTTCAGGGTAAGAATAGCACAGAAGTGCTATTCACTGTGTCAGCTCAGGGAGTATAACCATGCATATGGAAGTAGTTTGGATTTTGCATTAAATATTTGGCCAGAGGTGATTTGATAATCATTTATTCAACTCCTGCTTTGGGTCCAAAACTGTGCTCAATACTTTGGATATCAAGAAATCTCCTCTCCTCTCCTCTCCTCTCCTCTCTTCTCCTGTCCTCTCCTCTCTTCCCCTCTCCTCCTTTTTACTATACACAGACTGTATGCTAAGCCCTCTGGTATGCTAAGCCCTTTGGTTCTCATTTAATCAGCATATAACTGGCATCATCTTTTACCTTTACAGAAATTAAGTTGCCCCTCTTGACCCAACTATTAAATGGCAGAGCTGAGGGCTGAATTCAGGTTCTTCCTATGACATAACTAGGCTTTTGGCAGATACTAGCTCTAGCCTTGAGATGTTGCTCAGCAGTTGAGTTTACATGCAGATGACAAGCTATAAGGATTCCTCTGTAGCTTTCATGCAAGAGTGAGGTCGTATGGTGTGGCTTCTCATGGGAGGTGGCATTTGAAAAGGGGGAGAACAGCACGCTGGTAAGAAGAAACACTATGTGCACTTCACCCAGGTGTGAAGCACTTGCTGTGTTCCGAGAAGAACTAGCCATTAGGTGTGGCTGGGGGAAGCCACCAAGCTCTGCCTACCTCCTGGTTTTCTCAAGAGGTACTTCGCAGAGGCACATCTCAGCCTTGTGTGTCTGATGCTAAGGCACCAGGCGGTAGGGCAACAGAGCAACCAACACAGTGTCAGAGCCAGGGGCATCCTGTCGCCCTGACATTCACTCACACCCCCATCTGTCACCACCAGCTCCCATTTCGGTCAAGCAGAACCAGGGCTCACTGCCTGCAGGGATCACTGCTCAGATGACTTGATCATCCAGGAAGAAGACACTGGAAAGTGCAAAGTGTCAAGTGTAGATAGAGATGCAAGCGGTTCCCTAGGAACTGTCAGGCCACCCACCAAGCAGAAACTGAGCAGCTCCCAATCAAGATGCTGCAGTCTTAGGATCTTGAGTGACAGCGCTCCATAAGTGGGATTGACAGGCGCTATCCCCCTGGGAGCCCCGACAGCAGTGTTGCTGTGTAGCTTATTTTGTTACTTTCCCTGTAACGGATTCTGAGCCAATTTCCAATCAGGTCCTGAAGATGCGTTTAGGGTGTTACTATCTCAGGCTGTCTGCATGTGCTACAGTCAGAGGAAAACAACACCATCACAGATTTGACAGAGCAGTGGGGCTTCTGTGGGTGCTCCACAGGGGAAAGGGAGGGAGGGAGGCAGCTTTAGAAATCTGATGTATTCTGCTCTGATTTGCTGCTCTAACAAATCACCACTCACTTAGGGACTAAAAAAATACAGAATTGCTATTTTACATTTATGGAGATCTGCATCCAAAATGGGTTTCAGTTGGTGCAAACCAAGGTGTTAGCAGAGTTGTGTTTATTCTGAAGGCTCGGAGGAGAACCCACTCCCTGACTCTTCCAGAGATGCCTGTATCCTTTGGCTCATGGCCTCTTCCTTCATCACTAAGGCCAGCGTTGCCGCAGCTTTCAACCTCTCTCAGGCTCCTCTGCCTCACAATCCCATTGTTAGGAACCCTCGTGACTTTGGGCCCACCTGGACGATCCAAAGTAATCCTTCCATCACAATGTCTTTACGTCAATCACACGTGTAAAACTCCTTCCTCATGTAAGGTGACATATTCACAGGTGTCAGGGGTTCAGATATGGCCATCTACAGGCCATCACGTTTTGTCCTGTTGTCCTGCCTACCATAGCAACCATATAATGGGTGGTTGTACATCTCAGATTTGTCAACACTGGGGGCAAGTACCTCCATTCTTCTCCAGGGTGTTACAGATAACGGGCAGAAAAGTACCATTATGGGGTGTCCCCCCCCCACACTAGGAAAACAGGTGTGTATTGGTCAGTTCTTTGTTTCTGGGACCAAGTACTTGACATACACAACTTAGTAGAAGGGAAGTTGTTTTAGTTCATGGTTTCAGAGGTTTCAGATCATAGATAGCTGGCCCCAAGGCAGGAACATCGTGGCACAAAGACGTGGCAGAGGAAAGCTGCTCAACTCCTGGTATCCAGAAAGCCCTGAACAGGGGAAGAGCCCAAGAGAAAGGAACTAGGAACTATATATGGTTCCCAAGGTCACGCCCATGACGCCTTTCCTTCAAAGAGACCCACTTCCCAGGAGCCCATTCGGCTATGGACTCAGTCACCTCTCCAAGAGTGTCTTAATCCAGTCAAGTTGATAATCCAGATCATCTGGCATACGTAGAAAGTCACCTTCCTGAGAAGAATCTAATTCAAACTAAAGGGATTGGCTCTCTGATCTTTCCACCATGGGGCAGGGTGATTCAGGTTCATTCTTTCATTTTTATAGGGCACTGTCAACCACACCCCAGCTCAGAGGAGTGTTCACATCTGGTCATGGTGGAATACACCTACATTCCCAGCTCACAGGCAGTTGAGACAGAAGTATTACTTGATCGCATGAGTTTGAGATCATCCTGGGTGACACAACAAAACCTCATCTCCAAACACACCCCTCCACACACACACACATGCACAAACACACATTTGCTAGGCAGAAACACTGCTCAAGGAGTCCCTCCCCCTGAGAGACTGAAAGTCCAACCACACCTGTAGCCTCCATATAAAGTTTAAGCCAGATCGAATCCTTTTGGTCCCAGGATAGCTGCTTTCACTAAAATTTTACTTTACTCCGATCCTGTTATATTAGGAGCACAGTGTCAAATAAGCTTTACAGAAATGTATTTACTACAACAGTTTTACTAAGGGTGATCATGTCTTCTCAGCATACATTTCTTAGGAGAAATATTCTACCAGTCTCAGAATCCACCACTAGATATCCACCATTCTAGTAATGGCTTTGTTTCCATCAAATGAGCACTAGCTCTCATGGATTTTGCCTGATTTTTTACCCACTATTTGGAAGCTAAGAGACAAAGCTGTCCATCTACATCAGAGCTTTGGAACAACATACCCTGCATTACGCACACCAACTTATTTTCCTTACTTTGCTGTTGTCTCTTTCCCCAGTTACCTACTGTTTTGTAATTTAGTTCTTTTTTTTTCTAGTGTCTGTAAGCTGAAAATAAGATATAGTAATAACTTTTGCTATTTCCCAAGACTTTTTCCTTTAAGTAAGACACATGCTCTTGATAGTACATTCACTTTGTTCCAGGAAAACACGTAAATAAATATAACAAAGAGCATGAAAGGAATCAGCCCTGGTGCCAACATACAAACACTGACTCTTGGCAGGACTGAGGCCAGTATCATTATAAAGCTGGAGCCTACGTCAAGAACATGAAAACAAATCTCTAGCACTTTATATGCAGAGCACACAAAGCTCATAAATGTCACCATTCTAAATGGCTTTCTTGCTATTGGCAGATTGCTGGAACAAAATTCCATTTCTTTCTTGAGGGATATTTAACTGTTATTGTATCTCTACTGTTGGTCAAAAGATATCAGCAAATTTGCTAATGTGATTAAAGATACTCTTCTTAAAGTGTTCTTAAACTTTCATATCATTGTCGTCATGGTTTTGAATGTAAGCTTGTTTTCTGGGGGAAAAAATCCCAAACAGACAAAAATGTGCTTTCCCATATAAAGTTCCAATGGTTATAAAAGACTGAAATGCTTTTTAAAAATCCATGTTAGCAAATCCTCCAGTGAAGATATCTCTGAGATAAACTCAGTCTTAAGACTTCATCTCTGATGATATCAAAGCATGGAATCTGCAACTGGGAACTTTTCAGCCCCAGTTAGTTGGTGTGTCTGGACCTGTAACCATAGGATCTGCAGCATGTGTTTAATAAGTATTTGAATAAGCCCAAGTACACCATGACAGGAATAAAACACACATAGAATGACTGGCACTCAGACACATTCAACCACAGGAAAAAATTCTGCTGCCCTTAACTCCAGAGCAATAGTTTTGATTTCCATTATTTTTCTCTTTGACAAAGACACACCTGAAAGACCACACCCAAAGTATACCCATATATGTGTTAGTATAATCTCCGTCCATCTTACTTCCACTAGAGAAAATGTGCCAGCATAGAAATGAACAAAGATGTCATTAATATGGGAACCATCTCGAACCCATGCAATATATTGAAAAGTCAACTGGCCACCATTTTGGCATATCTAGTATTATTAGACATGGTTTGTAAGGGATCTTTCATGGACTGGACACAGTTCATCACAATAGCATGACTGAGGGTGCTTCTTGGCAGAAACTGGCTCTGACACCCACTGTGTCCATCTTCCTAAGACCCACAGAGGACATCTCTAAGGGTCACTGCTATAATGCAGTCATCTACATGAGTTCTTCTACCCATGTGAGCACCACTAGAACCGTAGATGATTCTTGCTAATGGCCATTATGCAAGAATCCCATGGGCAAGGGAGTGTCCCTCCACTTCCACCACTATGACCTTGAGGAAGATGACTGACAAACAGCCGACTTACCACGCCACCACCCGCCGAGTGCACCAGAACAGACATCCCTTCCCGGAGGTTGGCGACTTCGAAGAGCATCATGTAGGCTGTGACGAAGTTCATGGGGAACGCAGCAGCCTCCGCAAAGCTCATATCCTCTGGGATCTTGTAGACAAACTCCACTGGAGTGCAGACCACCTCTGCCCAGGCATTGTAGTTGACGAATGCCATGACACGGTCTCCAATCTGGGCACGGAAAATTACAGAATAAGTTGACTTGGTCAAAGCAGGTTCAAGGAGGGACTCAAATTACTCAGAACTGTCCATGGTACAAACACTGTTTTTCTTTCACTTACTGGAGACCTTTATCCGAGTTCTTTCAAGTTTCATAGCTTTTATTCTTTGACAAAATAATTTTTTACACGTTTGCAGTTAAAGCTTGAACAAAACCGGTTATTTCAATTTTACAAGTTATATAAGTTATTGGATGAAACATGACAGCTCTATTTTTTTCTGTCTACCTTTGTTACCACTCATCTCATCTCCAGAACCAGGGACACTGATTGGCTGAAGACGCATTCTCTTCCTGAATTTTAGAACACCACTTAGGTGGAAGAAAAAGCCAAAAAATAACAGCCCATCTAATGAAGATAAAACCATGGCATAGACTCTCGCTCCATCCTCATAAACCCATCTTCCACTTGACTGGCTTTTACAGGGTTCTTGAGAATTTTGGTCCCTACAGTCAAAGATGAGGAAATTAGAGGCTGGTTGAAGAATGGATTTTTTTCCGAACCCAACAGGAAAGCTACTATTTGCTGAGTAACATTAATGAACCAGATTCTGTAAGCTTCTTTGGATGTCATGTCAGTTGTTCAATCTACATGCCAGGTTTTAGGGATATTATACCTAGGAAGAAATTGAGGCTAAGAAAGGTTAAGTGTCTTTCATGAGATCACACAGGCCTGTCCTATTCCAAATATCTTTTCATTACATCAAAATGACTCCTTCTTTCCTGGATAGTTTATTGAGCCCTGTCTCAGTCTTAGTTTCTAGGCACTGGAGACATAATTATAATGAGGTATAATTCACGCTTTTGAATTATTTTTATGGCTTGAAATTTTCACATGGCAACTGCTGTAAGGAACAGGGCTTAGGAGGCAAATCCACCTGGAAAGGATATTTTAATAGTGAAGGAAGCTGGCATGATGCTATGACGGTGATGTTTCAGACCTTTGTCCAGAGATAAACTAATACTAATAAACTATTATTATGCCCTTCATAGAGATGGGAAAATTGAGACTGAAGGCTGAAGGAATTTTTAGAGATCAGGAAACTAGAATTCTGGGCCAGACCTGTCTGTCTCCAGAACTTCCCCTTGTGAGAGAACCCCTCCTTCTCACCACTCCCCGGCAGAGCTGTCTCTAAGGGAAGACTACCTGGACTGACCACTCATGAGGTCTGAGCACCCACAAGCAGAAGAAAATACTTTCCAATCTTCAAGCTCAGAGGCATGAGCAACAAGGAGTCTTCCTTTCTTTGAAAGATCGGTCTTCAGCTAAATGTGACTTCCTGCTGATTTTATGGGATTTCCAGGGTGGCACTGGCTTGTCTGCAGTGTCAGCTGAGGCCACAAATGTTTTCTTATTAACAGTATTTTTGTACAGGAAGAACTAAGGAAACCCTAGCAGGCACCATGCCTGTGTCCTCTCCTCCTAGATCCAGGAGAACGGTCAAGCATGGCTGTACTGTCCTCACCCGGGGTCATAACACAGTTTCTCTCTTTGTTGCTGTGTGACCACAGTCAGGGTGCTCACTCTTCCTGACCCTCAAGTGGTGATTGTGTCAATCAGGGCCTGTCCTCTTCTTCCACCCAACGAATGGTGAGCAACACAGGTCCCTTGAACTTGGGAAGCATTCCTTTCCTGCATGCCATCCTATCACACCATCTGCTGAATCACACCTGAAGGTACCTTACTCTCATGTCACCATTTCACTGCCTATGTGCTCTCCCTCCAGTGAGAACCCCAGCCCCATAAGGGCAGGAGCTTCTGACCCAATTTTTTCCCTGTTTCCCTGTCCTGAGAAAAGTGTAGTTTCTTGCTTATTATTGAATGAATTAATAGACACCCAAGAGTATTACTTGGGGCAAAGGGATGGTCACTCAGTGTTCTATTTCACATTTCAGAATCAAGCACAGATTTAAGTGTTTCTTAATCTTTTATGGAGTCATTTCTCAAAGTAGAATCTGATTTAAAAAAAAAAACCCTTTGTTTTCCTTCTCAGGAAACAAAGCAAAGCAAAAGCACCCTCAAATATGCGTACTCTGGTGGCCACCCAAGTCCAAGGCACTCCTGAGACTCCAGCACACTATCTATGGAGACCTCCAGGGGGCCACAGAAGCCAGGTCCTGTGCCCTTCCCTTGAGAATTTGGTGTGCAACACCTCACCCATGATGGAATGTTAGGGTTAAGTCATCCTGCACGCACAGTCTCTCCTGCCAAGCGCCAGATAAACCACTGTGATACTGGGAATGTTGGTTGCTATATTTTGGCTTCTGAGTGCGATGTCTAAATTCCTGTGGTCAACATGAATTTTGAATTAATTCATGCCTTTCATCAATAACTAGTTCAGGTTTTATGTACTTTTTTGTTATAGTTTATTCTGTTGTTTTATTTTCTTTATAGCTTTGTAGTTCCCTCCCATCCCAACCCAATCATAACAACCACAGTAACAACAACAAACCTCCTCTTAGATGAGTTCTGCAGCACAGATAAATGGTCACAGATTTTACAGACATTGAAACTCAAGCAAAGAGATCAAGTCCCATGCCAAAGCACACGGAGTGAGACAAGAGCAGGGCCAGGATGCAAATCCTGGTAACCTGACTCCAAATACAAATAATAATTTATTACATCTGCCATAAATGCTGCCACTGAAAACATAAAGCTATATAAGGCAATCCAACAGGCACTTAAAAGGCTGGGGATATCAGCTGAACTCTTTAGGTTTTAGTTTCTTCAGCTCTAAAATGGGTATAAAAATAGTAATACTTCTTTGTGGAAACTAAATGGCATCGTGGGCATGAATGGGGAGAATGGGGAAGAAACGAGGCGAGCTTCCTCTTGAGAATATGCATTCTTGCTTCCTGACCTGAGGCTCCTAGCCTCATGCAACTCACAGATTAATGGTTAGAAGGTAAGAGCAGGGCAAACAGAAGCTGCTCCAGTGACAGTGAGTCCCTATGCCTGGAAATCAAGGACGAGTGTCAGGATATCATCTTCAATTCAGCGTTGGAACCAGACGACGATGGGGCCAAACTCTCCTCTTTTATAGAAACATGAAAACCCACACACAGACGCAACGCCACAGAATCACTGCTGTTACAGAGCAACAAGAACAGAGGATTTTAGCGTCTTGACAGCAGAGGTCTGACTGCACCCTCAGGTCTCCCGTGGAACTTCACTCTGCATTCCATTTCCTTCTCAAAATGGCAAATTTGCCTCAGCCATAGAAGCCTCAGCCTCAGAGCCTAAATTCAAGCTTTTAACTAGACGAGCCCACCAGTTCACCTCATTATATGATTCTGCTCAGAAAAAAAAATCAGTCCTGAGTGAAAGAGCCCAAATCATTCCTTTAGTGCTGGGCCCCTGGCAATGACATTTCAATCCTCCCTTGCAATGGATCAAACCAAGAGAGCTATTCAGCCGGCTGCTGCGTGGAATTCTGTCTCCAACATGATTGAAAATCGTAAGTCAGAATTACACAGGGAATATAGATATTGGCTTTCTTCCTGCCTGGAAGTGTGTAGGTGGTTTTTCCTATTTGTTTGTGCAGCCTGGCGTCCCTGGAGCAGCAAGGGACAGAATGGTGGGTTTCATAATAAACAATCCAGAGCTGACCAGAGGACAAATCATGTTTGAAGTGAAAATATAGGGAATCAAACAGAGTAAGTAATTCTTCTAAACCAAGTCGAATGACATCCCACTTACCGTTCTAGCCTAAAATAACTTGCTATTTATTCAAAGATCAGGGTTGACACAATGATCAAGCAGATCTTTTCCTTTGGGGCCGTATGGAGGAGAAAAGAGCAGATAATATTGTTTATATGCAGCATTTTCGGGGACAATGATGTGTTTTTGGTTCTCCTGCTTACCCAGGGACAGAAACCGTAAAGTTGTAAGAAAAATAAAGCAAAAAGCTCTTTACTTCCGTTTCAACATTTTTTTTCTGCTGATTATCTGGAAACCATTAACAGTAAGACAGATAAGTAAGATAAGCTTTTCAGACATTGTCTTAATGAATTTGGAGCATATTGATATTTTCAGAGTTACTGAGGCTCAGAGCCATGGAGACTGAGAAACAGGCTGAAATTTTATGTGAAGGGCACCTTGTTATTGAATTTTATAGGCTTCTTCTTCCATGCTTTTTTCTTGTACTTAGTTCTGCAGCATTTGGGGGTTTGGGCCGGGGGATAAAACACGGACTTCAGGAGATTAAAAAGTCTGTAGCGACTGAATTCACATTCTGCTCCTACAGAGTATCCTCCCGGCCTCAGAAAACTACGGGGTCCTTCTAAAGCTCAGAGGATAGGACAGTCTTTCCTTGACAAGGCTTTGTTAAGGATGAAAACAAGACAATTTTGCTATGGTTCCAGTTCTGGTGGGTTTCCAAGGGTTGGCTCCTTTCAATCCACCCCAGGGGCGAACTTAGTTATGACCGAAAGCTCTTGTACTTGATTCATATTGATTTTCTGGCTCTAAACTACTACAACTTTATGCAGTTGATTTGTTCACAGTGTCCCAGTTTTTATGGATCCAGTGCTGTTGTCTTCGTGTTATAATAGCAGGAAGGGTCAGGCATCTTTTCACAGATTAAAACACGGTTTACTATAGTGAATTTTGAACACAGAAGAAAAAGTAGCCAGAATTCCCTAATAATCTTGTTTTACCCATGGCCCTCCTCACAAACCCTTCAATCATAGCCAATTATGTCACACTGTTAAGGACCTCAACTCTTTGATGAGAAGCTCTTTGATTGAAAAATGAGACTACCCTCATTCTAAGGATTTATAAATGATAACTCAAATTTATAAGTTTAGTAAATATTCAAGGAACCAAATTTTCAAATACAGGGGCCATGTCCCCCAAACTTTTGTTTTATAATTGATTTTTGAGCCCAAGGTAACAGAAATGGGAGCCATAAATGGAGAAGAAGCTATGTCCACCCAGTGAATCCGAAGTCAACTACTTTTTAAAAATATCTGAATCACATGAAAAATGGGATGACAAGATCTGTTCTGCCCACCTAACCAAAGCGTTGCTAGAAGCAGCCAAATGTGTACAGGAGAATTCATGAGCTCTTTGAAAGTCCTGTTACTATAAACAGCACTAACAAAACCCCACGATAGCACAACGCTAATGATACATGGTTATGCCAGACATATTTTTGCACAGCCTTTCATCGTCTCAGTGGATTCCAGATGAATATTTCTCTTTAAGTCAAAATGAAAACTTTACCTCATATCCTTTCACACTGTCCCCCAGCGCTTCCACAATCCCAGAACATTCAAATCCTGGTACCAGGGGAGTCTTGGGAGGGTTGTCAATGTTCCCTTGTCTCACCATCAAGTCAATGAAGTTCAGGCCACTGTGAACAGCAGAGTGAAAAAAAGACAAATTCAAAATGACATCCAAAAACTAAAAACCACTGCCTGGCTCTTTTCTGTTCGGACCATGCTTTTCTGTTTTTTCCTCTCTTCCTTTCTCTTTTCCTTCCTTCCCTTCCTCCCTAATTTCCTCCCTCTCTCCCCTCTTCCTTCCTTCCTTGTTATTTTTCTCAACCAACATGTCCCTAGAGTAATGCGTCTTGGCTAGATACTCCTAATAATGTACGGTTCAATTATCCCTATGCAGAAAAATCATGCTTTTCTGACAGTAAACATAGTTGCAGCTTATGTTCTAATTCAAAAGACAGTCCCTTTGTCCTCTCTCGATGTCTAAACAGAAAGCTTACTTTGAAAACACATATTGACAAGCCTGGTCATTAGACAGTCCAGCACTTAATCAAAGGTTAAAAAAGGAAATGGCTATAAACAGACGCATGGAAGGAGGCCAGACACAGCGGCCACCCGCTAAACAATGATAAAGAGAGACAGAGAAAGGACAACCAATTTAAAAGGTCTCAAAGCAGCCCGATATCTCTTCTGGCTCCATCCCCCATGCTTACGCCAGCCTCGGGGCTTACGCCAGCCTCGGGCCATGAGCCATGAGTAGGAGAGGAGAGACTCAGAAAAGAGACTGAAGGGAAGGCTCCATGGCTATGGAAATGCTCAGAGGTTTGTTTCAGAGCTGTAAGTTAGCTTTGGATGGGAGAAATTATTAGGCATTTTCTATTAACACATTACTTCTGAAATAGGAACGCTACTGAGTCATATAAAGTCATCTGCATGGGAAATCATACCCTTGACTCCAGTGGGGCCGGCCACTGATACATTAATCTGTTTTATTTTTTTTAACTACTCCTGGGAATTGCACTTAACACCCTTTTCCAAGTCACACAGGGAAACACATCCCTTTGAGTAGGCGTTTCCCCCACCAGATGCGACTCTGAGGAGCTTCTTGTGTTCCCAAGTTACCATCGAAGAAGCACTGAGACTCTAGAAATCAAATTCCTCAGTCTGACTCAAGGCCCATCAACATCTGGCTACACAGCTGCTTTGCCAAGCTAGACAATTTGAATTATTTTCAAGTACATCTTGTCTATTCTTCCTTGGTCTCCTTTGGAGCCAAGTGGGCATTTACGAGATATAACTGAAAAATAGATAACTGATAAATGTTTAAATGTTAAACTTATTACAGTAAAACACATGTTGCCATCGACCCCCCAACATGCCCTCACTCTGAACATACTTATCCACCATCCTTGCAACTTTCTGAAGCACTTCCTGAGGTCCTCTTTCGTGAGTATCTTCAGTTGTGCCCTTGTGACTGCCTGAATCAACTGACTTTGCATTCTCATTTTGATTTTGAGGATGTCCCGGAAGTTGTATGGTGTCAGACCCGGTCAGTAAGGTAGGTGAGGATACACGGCAATGTTTTATGATCCTGCCTCTCCACTGAGCGGCACCCCACAGCAGCCTTCATTGTGCTCTTGATTACAACTTGTGAACTCACTCATTAAAGAGCAGTTCTGGAACTGCTTCAGAAAGGAGCAAGAACAATGGGACAAGCATGCTTGAAATGGACGAGAGGCATGAATTGTCTATTACTGTGATAATTTTAAAAATTTTAAACATTCATTGTATATTTTGATGACCCCTTGTCTTGTAGCTATGTCCTTCCGTCTCCCTCACTGGCCTCACCACAGGGTTGCACAGAGGCATGAAGGGGGGGCACCTTACTTGAAGTGGGGTGCAGGTTAAAAGTCGCACCCCAAGGTTCTCCTGCCCCAAACACATCCTGCCCCAGCTAGTGTATCTCAAGGGTGGCTCCCTTGAAGGCAGCTGCCTGCCTCAAATTAGAGTTTGGTAAGCAAGGCCCAAAGGACTGACATGGTATCATCAGCTGTTGAGTGGAGGAAGAGTCACCAGTATAAAACATGAGGTTCCAGTTTGAGTTATGATTCCTTTTCAAAGTGAGAATAGTAGGGAAAAAAGGAAATGGCTATAAACAGACGCATGGAAGGAGGCCAGACACAGGGAAAAAAATGCCAGTCAGTTCCACTGTCAGTGACTCCTAGCTCATTAAAAAGCAAGGTTTTAAGCAAGGTCTCCAACATCGATTGGAGAAATTTTTATGCCCATATCTTGTACTCTGGGTTTAAAGATAACAACATGTAATGTATTAACTATTGTTATTCTCCCATTATTTTGTTATGAAATTTTGTTTTACTGTTTTTACATAAAATTTAAAAAAAATTTTTTTTTAATGAGGACTAGATAGATGTCTGAAATGCATGTGTAGACTTCCAAGGGTCCCGCTTTGACAGTGACTAGTTATTCGGGTCTATGATTATCCCAAATATTCTTCACCAACATGGTCATTTTCTTGAGGGCTTGGCGAGACCTGGGACAAATCCCTGTCCTACCACTTCTATATTTATGTGACTTTGGATAAGTGATTAGCTTCTTGGTGTTTCAGCTTGCTCATCTGTGAGATGGGAACACCAACAGTACCTACTTCCCAGGGTTGGTAGGAACAGGAATGGAAGTGAGCCACTTGAGGATGACACCCAGGTACCCAGTACTCAACGCTGTTAGCCTTTTGACATATGTCTTTAACAAAGAAGGTGAGAAATGAGTGAAACATTTTAGGAAGACTGGTTAACAGAGGGTTAAAAATAGTTTCCGAGCTGACGGGAAGTATTCCACTATCTATAAACTTCACTCCATGAAATGGTCCATTTTCCAACACAATCAAAGAAATAAAGCATCAGTGTATAACAATAAAAGGAATTTCTACGTCCCAGATCAAACACCGCATCTCATTCCACACATATTTTAGCTCACAGTGTTTTCCTTTGTGTGAAAACTTTTGATTTCCCAAGGCCCTGATGAAGAAATGCCAGAAGAAATAACTTGACACTTCCGCAAACACAGCGGTCCCTTGGAGGAGCCTTCATCCGTCCCATTATTGTGCTTGCTCAACTGGGCTGCCTTCAATCACCATCCAAGAGGACAGCCAGCTCCTTAAATCACAGTGAGAAAGGTGGAGAAGAACTTGCTAGGAGTCTGCGGCTCTCTGCATCCTCAGGAAGCCATGCAGTGATTCCCCAGGTCATGGTGGAGGCTGTCTATTTTCAGGAAGGAGGTGCATCCTGAGGGAAAGGGCTGGGGGATGTCATTCCTCTCTGCACCAAGGAGGTGAGCAATCGCTAATGAAGCCCGCTTAGGGGTTCTGTCAGGCCTGCTTCACGGAGCCTGCACCCGATCTCTGTGTGCCTCAGATATGGCCAGCATTTTAGGAGGGTTTAACTTGTGGCAGGAACTGTGCTTAGTCCTTTGATTTTGTATTTAACAATCAAGGGCACTCCTATGAAGTATGAATTATCCTACCCATTTTTCAGATGCAGAAATCTCTGACACAGTAGAATTAAGTCACTTACTTAAGGTCACATCTTTAGAATGTGTCAAACAGTGTTTCAGTTCAAGTGTCTATGGCCATACCACCCTGAACGCGCCCGATCTCGTCAGTTCAAGCACAGCATAAAGTCAAACGCTTATGTAACACAATCCACTTCCTTGGGAAGTTCCTCCCCTCCACCCCAAGGAGCGGGTGTATCTCAGGGCCATGTTTATAACTTCCTGTCTCTTCCTCCTGTGGAGAGCTGCTGAGCCACTGGTGAGCCAAGTGTTGGAACTTGAGTGCTGGAAGAGTGGCCTTTCCTAATCCAGGCAGGAGTCCATTCGTTAATACAGACAAACAATGAGATTCAAGACCTGGGTGTGCACTCAAATGCTACAAAGTGAGTATCATGCAGCAAGAGAATGCAACAGAAAGGATATTAAAAGATAGAACTGAGCTATAGACACTCAGTAGACCTAAGCTGTAGAGAAATGGAAAGGCCAGAAGGCAGGAGATTAACAGAAAGCCAACAGCCTGCGCCAAGGGGAGGCTTTGCAAACTTCCACCACTGAGTCACGGACAAGGAGGGGTCCAGACCCCCGAGATAGTAAGGCCAACTCCAATGCACCTCCAGCTCTTCAAGTGCCTTTGTTATTTCAGGCCTCTTTATAGCAGACCCTCTTTATCTGTATGGCCTTTGTCCCACAAAATCAAAAGATGCAAACTAAAGCAAGTATCAAAAGCGATCATCTCACTGGGACAAACATTATTTTCTTTTCAGGCCAAACAAGTAACATTGTTTAAGAGCTGCTAAGACAAACCCACACAGACAGCACCACCCACGGACTTAAACTTGCCTCTATTTAATACTTTTATTTTCTCACCACCACACAGCTTGGTGTACCAAGCTACATAGCTTCACAATTACAGTTTCCAGTATTCTCTAAGATACTTTTTTTCATGGAAAGTTTGGAGAGATGCTAGTGACTAGGTCGCATGACTCCAGCACACACGGGAGCAGTCTTTAGACACCCCCCTTACTCCATTTTTAAACAGCTTTTGAACATTTCAGATCGCTGCAAAGAAAATAACATTAGAAAGTGCTTGACAAAATGTTCTGCTGGGTAATTCTATTTCTCTTAAAGATGAGCATCATTTTAATAATACAGCAAGGCTTTTCTTTTTTCCTCCCATGCTAATTGATGAGTCAGAGACTAGGAGGAAAGGGTTATTATTGAGAGGTAGCATCCTGAGGGGGGGAAGGAAGAGGTCTGAAAAAGGGACCCTGAAAAACTCTAAACACAAGATTAGAATCTGAAGGCATGTGATAGAAAATACAAATGGAAGGACAGGGCTTCTAAATGTTTTTTATATTTGCATAGCACAGTTTATAATGCACTTCCAGACAAGTCTCATTAAACACTCTAACATTCTCAGGAAAGCAAGAAGCACAGATATTATTATTCTCATTAAATAGATGTGAACATTAAGACTCCACATAAAACTGACTTGACAAAGTCTTAATTGCACAACAGTTAGTACCTAACAGAGCTGAGCTATGAGTCAAGATCTTCGAAGCTTTGC